GACGTTACTCCTCTCACGAGTCAATCAAGTGCCGGTACTTCCGGGCAGATAACGACGTTACGTTAATGGAACAATGTAGCCTTCGTGTGAGTCGATCAAACAAGGATCGAGATTAATTACTTTGACTTCCTGAAACACGTCAATTACCCGGCCCACTGACCGTTAATTACGACAGACAATACTCTAATTCTTATCTGGCTGATGGCTAGGCTCCTCGAGACTACCGTAGCTGCTTACAGGAAAGTAAATTAACCCAAACGTATTCTACGTTACTCAAATTGTCAAAGAACAAATTCTCTTAAAGCAATGGGCGTTCCCTTGGTTACGTTATATTAATTGCCTCGCAATCACCTCACTGAATACTGGACTTCGATGTCCTACCAGATAACCAGGAGAATATATGTATATCCAAGTACTCGTCTACAGCCGAGTTCACCCACGACAATGACAAATCACACTAACAAATCACAGTGATTTACGTTACAATCCGGTTGCAATGACAATACTGCAGAATCTAGTAAAATAACCTACAGGACATGAACCCTCTAGAACACTGCCCCACAATGGTTTTACTGAACTGCAATCACATACGGTGATTGCTCAACACTAGCAACAATCACCATCAAATAACAACCCCCTTTGCAATAACACACACGGCAAGTACTCCAATTTCCAAATATTAGGATACTGCACACACTTACTTACTTACTGCTGCAAAGGACCCCTAGAACATAGGTCAATATATTGCAATCACCACACAGTAAATAACACATTAACACTGGGCACCGTGACACTACGATTATATATATATATAATTACCGCTGACACATGTAGCCTACAGCTATCAAACGTTATTGGGAACACTAAGGAGAATCTCACACTCCTTAAATCACATGGGTGAGTGATTTATCGGTCACGCATGCCGATAAACACTCGAGAGTTACGTTACTCGACAGAGCGGGGGCGGTCTCTCTAGACGGCCTCGTCACTCACCAAACCTCACCAAAATTACGTTAATTAATACTGCAACCACAATATATATATTTATATAAATCACACTTGTCACGGCCCTGGGAACACTACAAGAAATTTAAGCCACACTGTGGCACACTCCACAATAATCATTGCCAGGAATCACTGGCGTTACACATACCTGAGCGCTCAGTGTTGGAATTCCACACCTGCAAGACCACACATGGAAATGATATCACTCCGTCCCACGGACGATCAAAAATGATTACCACAATGAAATAAAAGAATTTATTACATGGACATCCTCTCCGTCCTTGGCTAATCTATGTATATTCTGTGTTCCCGTGTGTACCCACACACACACACACACTGTACGTCTGTGTACACTTAAGTCCCTCTGGACTGACAAGATGACAACACAGGTGATTAATCTCCTCGCCCACAATTCACTCCACCTGAACAGGTGCTGCGTGACAATGTGACGGAACACTTGACCTCGAATTCAAGCTTTAGAGACTACTAATCACCGAAATACACACATAGGTACTTACTCATTCACACTGCCGGCTTTACACACCATTCCCATACATCAGGCACCCCGCTATAGGTGGCTGGCTCGCTCCGGGTGGCGTAGGCGGCAGTTCCTGACCGTAGTACAAACACGGGAAATTGCCTTAACACTGACACAAATTTCCCCGTTCCCATCGACTGCTACAGAGCACTAGCAAGTCTAATCATCACTGGTATGGGATCTACGAGTCTGTTGCTGCTCGTATGCACATTCCCCCACGATCCCAGATCACTGTACCTCTACCCCCTGCATACAATAATGTCTTAAACCCCTCCAAGCGACGACTTCGGCCGGATTCTGTGACGACCGATGTCGTAGGTGAAGCAGGAAGCATCAGCAGTTGTAGTCCAGCCACCACGACGCCCTATACTCCAATTTGGCCGAATTGAGTACAGGATGCGTCTTGACAAGGTGGCGGCTGAGTTCAGAATGATGCTCACACCGGCTCTTCCCGCGTCCTTCTCGAAATAACCAATGAGAGGAAGGCATACAGCGGCCTACCCCTCTCATCCAATCAGCGACGGTGTAGCATAGCCCCTAGGGCAGCTCCAAGATGGCCGACCAACATGGCGGCTCAAGATGTTTACTAAGATGGCGGCTGTCTCCATGACAACCACTCAAGTGGCCAGCGAGCGTGGGACCCCACATGTCTACCCAACCCACGCCTGCGGCCTAGGCGTTCGCGCGCAAAGTTGTCTGGCTCCATGCCATACAATGAGATGATGCTATCAGCTCTAGCACTGTCCACAGACATGCCACCCCGGCCAGGGTAACATTTATGGACTGCTGATGACTGGGGCTCTCACATGAGCCCAAACACTAGATGTTTCGGTTGCTGGTACAAAACTTAAGTCCGCCCACTTAACAAGTGCACTTAACAAGTGTACTGGCTCCCACAGGCATAAGAGCACTATTGTAAGTGAGCTGGTGAACCACCCCCTCACAGTCTTCTCTACTCATAATACTTGCGTCACACAGTACCCATGATACTTGCGTCACACAGTACCCATGACGCATCATAGACTTAAAATACAATCGGTAGTGTGAGTTTTAGATTACTTAACAACAAAATAATATAGAAAACGGCAGCGTCTAACTAGACCTATCCAATACCAACCACGATTAAATTGTCCAGAAATTAGTTCCATAAATCAACAGCCCAATTTCCAAACCATTTTTTTACCCAGTTCTTTTTATAAATCGTATCGATTGATATTTACTATATTATGATAATATTTTGAGATATTTTTTTAGAATTTGATTGTCTCTAAACCTTTTTTCAATAGGTTTAGCCTATTTCATTTTCATGAAATAAAATATATATATATATATATATATATATATATATATATATATATATATATATATATATATATATATATATGTCGTACCTAGTAGCCAGAACTCACTTTTTGGCCTACTATGCAAGGCCCGATTTGCCTAATAAGCCAAGTTTTCCTGAATTAATATATTTTTTCTAATTTTTTTCTTATGAAATGATAAAGCTACCCATTTCATTATGTATGAGGTCAATTTTTATTTATTTGAGTTAAAATTAACGTAGATATATGACCGAACCTAACCAACCCTACCTAACCTAACCTAACCTATCTTTATATGTTAGGCTTGGTTAGGTAGCCGAAAAAGTTAGGTTAGGTTAGGTTAGGTAGGTTAGGTAGTCGAAAAACAATTAATTCATGAAAACTTGGCTTATTAAGCAAATCGACATATATATATATATATATATATATATATATATATATATATATATATATATATATATATATATATATATATATATATATATATATATATGTCGTACCTAGTAGCCAGAACGTACTTCTCAGCCTACTATGCAAGGCCCGATTTGCCTAATAAGCCAAGTTTTCATGAAATAATGTTTTTTCGACTACCTAACCTAACCTAACCTAACTTTGTCGGCTACCTAACCTATTAAGTTAGGTTAGGTAGGGTTGGTTAGGTTCGGTCATATATCTACATTAATTTTAACTCCAATAAAAAAAAATTGACCTCATACATAATGAAATGGGTGGCTTTATCATTTCATAAGAAAAAAATTAGAGAAAATATATTAATTCAGGAAAACTTGGCTCATTAGGCAAATCGGACCTTGCATAGTAGGCTGAGAAGTGCGTTCTGGCTACTAGGTACGACATATATATATATATATATATATATATATATATATATATATATATATATATATATATATATATATGTCGTACCTAGTAGCCAGAACGCACTTCTCAGCCTACTATGCATGGCCCAATTTGCCTAATAAGCCAAGTTTTCATGAATAAATGTTTTTTCGACTACCTAACCTACCTAACCTAACCTAACCTAACTTTTTCGGCTACTTAACCTAACCTAACCTATAAAGATAGATTAGGTTAGGTTAGGTAGGGTTGGTTAGGTTTGGTCATATATCTACGTATTTTAACTCAAATAAAAAAAATTGACCTCATACATAATGAAATGGGTAGCTTTATCATTTCATAAGAAAAAAATTAGAGAAAATATATTAATTCAGGAAAACTTGGCTTATTAGGCAAATCGGGCATTGCATAGTAGGCTGAGAAGTGCGTTCTGGCTACTAGGTACGACATATATATATATATATATATATATATATATATATATATATGTCGTACCTAGTAGTCAGAACGCACTTCTCAGCCTACTATTCAAGGCCCGATTTGCCTAATAAGCCAAGTTTTCATGAATTATTTATTTTTCGACTACCTAACCTACCTAACCTAACCTAACCTAACGTTTTCGGCTACCTAACCTAACCTAACCGATAAAGATAGGTTAGGTTAGGTTAGGTAGGGTTGGTTAGGTTCGGTCATATATCTAAATTAATTTTAACTCCAATAAAAAAAAATTGACCTCATACATAATGAAATGGGTAGCTTTATCATTTCATAAGAAAAAAATTAGAGAAAATATACTAATTCATGAAAACTTGGCTTATTAGGCAAATCGGGCCTTGAATAGTAGGCATAGAAGTGCGTTCTGGCTACTAGGTACGACATATATATATATATATATATATATATATATATATATATATATATATATATATATATATATATATATATATATATATATATATATATATATATATATTAGGCTAGGATGTATTAGCTAAGCCTCGCTTGGGTTAGATTGGTTTGGTTTTGATTTGTTTCGTTATGTTAGGTAAGGTTTTAAAACCCGTTGGCAAACCGTTTTGTGTACGGGGAGACTTGAATCCTTCTGTTCTCCCCTTTAACGGCGCGAAAAGAATTCATGTAGATTCTATTCATTAAAAAAATAACACTGAAATGACGATTTCCAATATGTCGATTACCGAGTGGAAAGTTTGTTTTGCGGACGGTGTATACATACATAATAGCGCACATATATACCACATGGAAGTACATATAGGACTCACCGGTCTGGCCGGCGTTGTAGACGGGTCGTGAGGGCTGGATGAGGATGGTGAGGAACTTGGCCTGGAAGTTGAGGCTGGCGACGCGCTTGAAGAGTGAAGTTACGCCTTCCCGCCCCTCTACCTGCAGCTGCCACTCCCCCGTCCCTCCTGAGTCAGGTACCTGCAACACACCAAAGTCAGGCACCTGCAACACACCAGATTCAGGTATCTGCAACACATGAGAGTTAAGCACCTGCAACACACCAGAATCATACTAGATATTCCGGCTAATCATGGCTTCAGATTTCGCCACTTCAGCACTATTCAGCCGATAACTGCATAACACAATTAGCATCACCTTAGTACAGAACCCTGCATTATGTCAGCATCAACCTGCATGTGCCAATGAATCGCCCATTTCAAAAGTTTATCGAGATCGCTTTGGATTTATTTTGTGTCTTTTGAATGTATTTCCTGTCCTATTTTAAGGTCTCTGCAATTTTGCTAATCTTGTTTTTCAATTATAATAATGTGATCGGCTCAATACGAGCCGATCACATTATAGGGTGCGGGAGAGCCAATGGAACCCTCTCCGAGCTACTTATGACAGTCCCCTATCACCAAATTGTGTCAGAAAAGTTGGATGAGGCTACCCCTAAGCGTCTGTGGTCTTCAGTCTCGGACAGACGGATATTTTCTTATAGACACAAGGTTACTGAGAACCTCGAACGTGGTTCGGACCCTGCATGAGGTTGTTGAGAGCTTCCACGAACGCCACACTTAGCAGACGACTTGGATAAACACCCTGCGTGCATAATCCACCTAATTGTCACCTTTATCTAAAATTCAAATTTACGCGCCTTTGTTGGTTTGCTGGTTAGTATATATTAGTGTGACGTCAACACAGTGAGACATGGGAGCATAGAGGCGAAGCTGCGTATTTGCATGTCCATTGTAGCGGACTGAAGGACGGTAATTCTGCAGTGTTACCACCACTATAGGTGGGTACCTCACTGTCGCGCCAGTTCTATAGGTGGGTACCTCACTGTCGCGCCAGTTCTATAAGTGGGTACCTCAATGTCGCGCCAGTTCTATAGGTGGGTACCTCACTGTCGCGCCAGTTCTATAGGTGGGTACCTCACTGTCGCGCCAGTTCTATAAGTGGGTACCTCACTGTCGCTCCAGTACTCTCTCGCTCCCCAGAGTGGGTGTACCATCCATTTATAAGTGGATAGTATAATTCCAGTAATATCGTCAAGGCGTCAATCCTCCTGAATTGAGACGGTAGGCTTGACGCTTAGCCCGTCGAGCCACGGGATGAACTATACATAACATACACAGCAGCAACAGGTGGGGGGAGGGAAAAAGAGGTGCTAATCAGCCTGGAATTCTTCACTCAACTTCCGCAAATTTGGTCGTCGGGGAAAGGACGTAATATCAGCCAACGCAACAGTGTTGGGACACTCCTAGGCCACCAGTGTCAATCTGCAGGGTTTGCAATACTGCAACATCAGCCCTCCCTTCCTCCCCCTCGACATATGCCACTAGAACTGACTCGCCAAAAACCCTTGTTTACATTCGTTTGAATGAATACCTTCATTTCCTGCCGTAGTTTGATCGAGTCAATTAACATCATTCAAAGGCGCGGGTAATGTCGTTTTATTTGTACAATATGGTAATGTGTCTTCATTAGCAATGTCAATATTGTTATAATTAAATCACTTGTGTTTTGGCTAATTTGATAATTGGTTTTATAAGCTGCTACGAGGCTATCCACTGGCAGTTGTGTTACTCGGTGCAATACATATATATTTAATGTTTAATAATATGTAATGTACATTGCATATTTATAATGATAAATGTTTTAGCAAATATGAATAAATATTGCAGAGAAGGCCACAGTGACCCGGCTGAACCATGACAAGCCTCCAGCACCAGGGGGGGTGCGGGGGGGGGGAGGGGGAGGTAAAAACCTCCGGGTTTTATTCTTAAAACTTACCCAGCCCGTGTTGGTTTTATATATTTAGTCAATAAATAAATAATGCAAGTTTAAATCTAAATAGAAATAAAGAATCTTTATTTTTATTTAGAGGGTTTTTTAAGTGAAACAAAAAACTCAACTACTGCACATCGTTTGTTAAATATTGTGAGTAAACATATGAGGTTCAGAGGAACTCTTAGATTTAGAATAAAACTGAAGGTGACCTCATCTTGTGAGCTGACCAGTCCGCGAGGCTTGACAAGCCGTCACAGCTTTTATTTATTTATTTATTTATTTATTTATTTATATACAAGAAGGTATATTGGGTTTGAGAGAATACATAGCATAGTGTTTACAATCTTGTAAAGCCACTAGTACGCGCAGCGTTTCGGGCAGGTCCTTAATCTAACAGATAACTTAAAGTAGGTAAATTCTAGCAGAATTAATAAAATAACAGATACATTGCAAGAAAAAAAAGAGATGAGAGAGATTAGTAAGTATAGTAAAGCACATTGGTATATTAAAGCTCTGATTTGTTTCGCTCTTATATGTTTCACACAATGTTTCTGGACCACCTGGCCTGAATAGCTGTGACTGAGAACTCTTTGAGAGCATCCAAGAATTCGCATCTAATCTCAAACTCACAATCTCATGAAGACGGGGGGTTTTCACCATTGTGAAACAAGGGGGGGGGGGGGGAACAAGACTACGTATCGACGTACCTTCAGGAGGATCTCGGAGATTTCCTTTGGTTGGAGGAAGACCTTGCCGAAGGCGACCTGCCGCCCGTCGTGGGCGAGGGCGGCCCTGACGGTGAGGGGGTGGGAGGGGCCCAGAGCCTCCACCACCACCCGGTACACAGACCCGGGCACCACGCTCCTCCCGCTCACCACCACCCACTTCCTGCAACACCACAAAATACACACCACTTTAGAAAAGGTTAATTTTAGAACTATTAGCAGGGCACTATGGGAATATTATATGTAGTTTTATACATTCTCTCATTCTCTCTCTCTCTCTCTCTCTCTCTCTCTCTCTCTCTCTCTCTCTCTCTCTCTCTCTCTCTCTCTCTCTCTCTCTCTCTCTCTCTCTCTCTCTCTCTCTCTCTCTCATATATTATATATATTTATTATATTATATATATGCAGGGGGGGAAGCCAGCAGAGCCTGGGTGGACCTGGCCTAATTAAACCTGATAAATAAAACCCAAAAAAACTATGATGAGTAGATTTGTTTTCTGCTGACATTAGTAATGTTTTATGATACGGTAAAAATAAATCTGAAATAATTTTAGAGGGTCAACCCAGTTTTACAGACTCCAGATTTTAATGGGAGCAGTTTGGCCAACCTTGACCCGCCCTTGTTGGGCATCTACCCTTCAGCAATCACCGTGCAAAAATGAGTAAGTCTAGCCACAAGCATCTGACCTCCAACCTTGGACAAACATTCTCTTCTTATTGATAAAGATGTTAAGGAATATGACCAAAAGGGTGAGATCAATGATTCTAGCGCGAATATTCTCATTATTTCTTACGTTTATAACTTGGAAAGGAAATTGAAAACGTAACTCTCTAAAGTTCCTTTTACAATTTGGCCTGATGCAATGAGATGCATTTTATTGAACCTGTCAACATTTTCGGAGGTAGAGGGAAAATAGATAAGTTACCTGAAGCTGCCGAAAATAAACCAAGAAGGATGAGTTACAATTAAGTGTTATAGTCAGTCCATGTTGACTAGAGAGGAAGGTGAGACGAGATGGATATTCTGCCGAGGTTTTGAGGAAGATAGTATATACCTAAATACATAATTGTTGAAACACGGATGAGAGTGTTCGGTATATATATAGTGCTTCACTAACGTGTAATCTATTATTGTCTTTCTATTGGTATTATTGGTAGAAAATTGGTAGATTGGTAGTGTGGTAGAAAATATGTGACCTTTGATACTGCCATGTTGTCTGTGCATTGGCAGGCCCCTTAAGGAGACGTTGTCGTTTAGCTTACACATAGAAATCACAATTGCGTGATGCATCAAATGAACAAATCCACAACCGTGACGAGGATTCGAACCTGCGTCCGAGAGCATCCCAGACCCTGCCTTAATCGACTGAGCTACGACATGGTCGACTCCTTTTTGACCATGTCGTAGCTCAGTCGATTAAGGCAGCGTCTGGGATGCTCTCGGACGCAGGTTCGAATCCTCGTCACGGCCCTTGTGGATGTGTTCGTATAGCTTACATATTGAGATCAATGGGGTTAACCGTCTCCAAGTACATATGTGAGAGCATAGATGACAGTCGTTTCTTTCAGGGAATTTTGATTCGTGTCGAGAGAGTTCTTCAACAGCATGTTGGCAGTTTTATTAAAGTATATTGTGAGCTGTATGTTCTGCGATGGTGGTAGTGGTAGTGATGGTGGTGGTGGTTTTAGTGATAGTGGTGATGGTGATAGTGGTAGTGATGGTGGTGGTGGTTTTAGTGATAGTGGTGATGGTGGTGATGGTGATAGTGGTAGTGATGATGGTAGTGGTAGTGATGGTGGTGGTGGTTTTAGTGATAGTGGTGATGGTGGTGATGGTGATAGTGGTAGTGATGATGGTAGTGGTAGTGATGGTGGTGGTGGTTTTAGTGATAGTGGTGATGGTAATAGTGGTAGTGATGGTGGTGGTGGTTTTGATGGTGGTGGTAGTTTTAGTGGTAATGAGATGGTAGTGGTAGTGATGGTGGTGGTGGTTTTAGTGATAGTGGTGATGGTAATAGTGGTAGTGATGGTGGTGGTGGTAGTGATGGTGGTGGTAGTTTTAGTGATAGTGGTGATGGTAATAGTGGTAGTGATGGTGGTGGTGGTTTTAGTGATAGTGGTGATGGTAATAGTGGTAGTGATGGTGGTGGTAGTTTTAGAGATAGTGATGATGGTAGTAGTGAGGGTGGTGGTGGTGGTAGTTTCAGTACTGAGGTTGCGTTCACATTAATGAAGACGGTGGAGGGGCAACTCAGCACCATTAGTGATGTAAGAGGTTAGTATATCCCCCCCCCCACCACCACAGTCGCCATTACAAATGTTCAACATGTCGTGGTGCAGGTGGCGGCCGCAGGTGTCCCTCACACCTGTTATACACATTATTAATTTTCACGCTCGCGGGTGTCCTGCACTCTGTGTTGGTGCAGCTGTGTGTGAATAATCACCTTCCTGTTGTCGTACATCATGCTGGTCGCACGACAGCGTACACACACACACACACACACACACACACACACACACACACACACACACACACACACACACACACACACACACCTCCTGTTGACGGTTGACGGGACCACACACACACACACACACTCGAGTTATGAGAAAAGGCTGCGTGAAATGCACCTCACGACACTGGAAGACAGAAGAGTGAGGGAAGACATGATCATAACCTACAAAATTCTCAGAGGTATTGACAGAGGTAGATAAGGATAAACTGTTTAACACGGGTGGTACGCGAACAAGGGGACACAGGTGGAAACTGAGTACCCAAATGAGCCACAGGGACGTGTGTGTTAGTGTGATAATCCTGTGTCCTTCCATATTACAAAATTACTGTTATCAAAGAGATCCTCGTTAACAACGGATTTCATAACACCTCCATTCACAGAGAAATAACAAGTGTCTGTGACGAAGACAACAGGACTAACGACAACCTCGCGTTTCTCTCACACAATAATATAAACGACCTGCAAATATAGTTGATGAACGCGGCAGGGAAGCAATTCTCCCCCAGCACTGTGACCTGCACCAACCCAGAGGACCGCGTCTGTCTCCCGACACACTACATGAAAATCTTCCCCCAAAGAAATTTAGCATCGTCACGAAAACCAATATTATGATCCCTTCGAGGTCCTCCCTTGACGGCCCTACGAGGCGAACAATGAGTTCTCGGTACTGTCTCAAGGTTGCAGAAAGTAGCTGACAAACGCTTCTATATAGTAGATACTCCGGCTGCGCCCGGGTCTCTCTTTTCACCTCCCTCCCCCTCTGTTGCCATGCGCTCCCACCCTTTTCTTTTCTCATCTGCCCCTCTATCATCTCTCTCCCTGTATCCACTCCCCACCCCCTTCTCCCCCGTTTTTCTCTCTCGGGAAGATATTAAGAGATAATTGGGGGAGGAAGAGAAGAAATAGCCTAAGTTACTCTATCCCTTTTGAGATGTATTTTATTGTCTCAATAAACGTATTTGAACTTGAGAGATAATTAGAGAATTATCTGGAGATAAGTACTAAGACGTGACCAGCGGATGCTTTCAAGGCTTGAGATCCTAGGCGCTGTTGTGAGCTTGTATATACAGATATATATGTGAAATATATTGTATACATACTGTGCAATATAGTTACATATAGTTAATGGTGTTTTTTTCTAACTTCTCTTTCTCTATCGCGACCAATTCACTGAAGAGTACTGGTGCATGCAAGTGAATATATGAGTAGTAGTCACCGGGGCCTGACACCTGAGTGGATAGCGCTTCGAATTCGTAGACCTGAGGTTCTGGGTTCGATCCCCGGTGAAGGCGGAAACAAATGGGCAAAGTTTCTTTCACCCTGATGCACCCTGTTCACCTAGCAGTAAATAGGTACTCTGGGAGTTAGACCGCTGCTACTGGCTGCTTCCTGAGGGTGTGTAACAAATAAGGAGGCCTGGTCGAGGACCGGGCCGCGGGGACGCTAAGCCCCGAAATCATCTCAAGATAATCTCAAGATAAGATAGTCGTGCCGTGCGAATTCCGCTACCCCGTGGCGGGAAGGTGAACAGAGTAAGAAGTTGTTGTTGTTTAAGATTCGCTACCTGGAACAAAAAGTTCCAAGTAGCACGGGCTATGGTGAGCCCGTGTGTGTAAGAAGATGTTTGTGACTTTGTTAGGTGAGGCTGCAGGGTTATGAGGGTAGGTCTACACACAGCCCTGGGGTTATAGGGGGTAGGCGTACACACAGGGCTGGGGTTATGGGGGGTAGGTCTACACACGGGGCTGGGGTTATGAGGGGTAGGTCTACACACAGGGCTGGGGTTATGAGGGGTAGGTCTACACACAGGGCTGGGGTTATGAGGGGTAGGTCTACACACAGCCCTGGGGTTATAGGGGGTAGGCGTACACACAGACCTGGGGTTATGGGGGGTAGGTCTACACACAGCCCTGGGGTTATAGGGGGTAGGCGTACACACAGACCTGGGGTTATGGGGGGTAGGTCTACACACAGACCTGGGGTTATGAGGGGTAGGTCTACACACAGACCCGGGGTTATGAGGATAGGTCTACACACAAGGCTGGAGTTATGAGGGTAGGTCTACACACAGCCCTGGGGTCATGAGGGGTAGGTCTACACACAGCCCTGGGGTTATGAGGGGTAGGTCTACACACAGACCCGGGGTTATGAGGATAGGTCTACACACAAGGCTGGAGTTATGAGGGTAGGTCTACACACAGCCCTGGGGTTATGAGGGGTAGGTCTACACACAGCCCTGGGGTTATGAGGGTAGGTCTACACACAGCCCTGGGGTTATAGGGGGTAGGCGTACACACAGCCCTGGGGTTATGAGGGGTAGGTCTACACACAGCCCTGGGGTTATGAGGGTAGGTCTACACACAGCCCTGGGGTTATAGGGGGTAGGCGTACACACAGCCCTGGGGTTATGAGGGGTAGGTCTACACACAGCCCTGGGGTTATGAGGGTAGGTCTACACACAGCCCTGGGGTTATAGGGGGTAGGCGTACACACAGCCCTGGGGTTATGAGGGGTAGGTCTACACACAGCCCTGGGGTTATGAGGGTAGGTCTACACACAGCCCTGGGGTTATGGGGGGTAGGCGTACACACAGACCTGGGGTTATGGGGGGTAGGTCTACACACAGCCCTGGGGTTATAGGGGGTAGGCGTACACACAGCCCTGGGGTTATAGGGGGTAGGCGTACACACAGCCCTGGGGTTATAGGGGGTAGGCGTACACACAGACCTGGGGTTATGGCGACGCTACATGCGTCATGACATACGACTCAACTCCTTAGTAAACAAACATCTTAATTAAGAAAGCTTCCAGGGATCAGAATAATCCTCTGACAGGTAAGTGTGACAAGTAATTAACACAAAGGTATAATTTCTTGGGCGTAACGAGTAAGATTGTTGTTGTAAAATGAATTAAGAGAATTCAATTAAAATGTGTTAACATTTATGTGTTTTTTTTATTTTTCGAAAACTGCGGTGCAAAAAAAAAAGTATAGAAGAAAATCTATATATGTTTCTGTAAGGTGATATATACGTATTAATAAAACAACCACCACTCTCTCAAGACGCCCCCAACCACTTGGGCTGGACGGTAGAGCGAGGGGTCTCGCTTCATGCAGGTCGGCGTTCAATCCCCGACCGTCCCCCAAGTGGTTGGGCACCATTCCTGTCCCTCCGTCCCATCCCAAATCCTTATTCTGATCCCTTCCCATATGTACATCAGTGTACATATACATGTACATGTGTGAGACATTCACACATTTCCATAGCCACACTATAACGTTCTTTTGTCACAATATAAAGTTCATGGCCATAGTGTAAAGTTCACAGTCACAATATAAAGTTCATGGCCATAGTGTAAAGTTCACAGTCACAATATAAAGTTCATGGCCATAGTGTAAAGTTCACAGTCACAATATAAAGTTCAAAGGTCGAAATATAACATCCATGATCACACCATAACGTCCGTAATCACAATATAAAGTTCAAAGTGACATTATAATGTTCATAATCACAATATGACGTTCATAAACAGAATACATCAATAATGACAACATTCATATAGAAGAATATAATGACTTATCATTCTGAAAATGAAACCCGTCCTCGACTCAAGTCCATTCCATCCAGTGGTCGACCCCACAGACACAGTTATCAATTTTTGCATGCTGTTCATTCAAAACAGGAATTTTCTCAAATATAAATTATTATAATATATTAGCATATTGTGCATATATAGGCATAGGTTAGGTTAGTTCAGGTGTTTAGGTTCTGTTGGCGATTATTTGTATTTGTAGTACGTGGGTGAAGCATTTACAGCGTTGTGGATCGAGCAAAATTCGTCAGTGAAGCACTTGTTCCGGAAGTGTTTGAACGTCATCAGTTGCGAGTCGTGTGTAAACAGTTTTTCATTCATAAACAGGGGGTTTGGCGGGTGCATGGAATCACTTTTGGGTCTTTGTTTGGAGGACGGGCTGGAAAATGGGGCACTCAACTAGAAAACAAAACACTGGGTTCAGCTCGTCCCTCAGAGTTGTCACAACGTCAAAAGAATGATGTACTAAGTTACCCGAAGCTGAACTAACCAAGGACCCACAAATAGAAAACGTGATCCCGGTAATTTCGCGAGTCGCTTGATTTATAGTACACCATATTTTGGACTTTGGGGGGATTTAAACGTCAAAATGCGATGTATTGTTCAAAAGTAGAGGTATGTCAGTGGCTCATGACAATCTAAGACAGTCTGGGAGAGCCTTCCTTTCCACCAAGTAACGGAAACCTAATTTACAATTTATTGAAAATTGTTGGATAGTACGTCTTCTTAAGTCATTTATCACTTATGATCCTATCACCACATTGTCATAATTTTCTATAACAAAAAATCTTAACATTTGTTTAAACTATAAAAGCATTTTGTTATAAGTTAATTATTAATAAATGATTGAGGATACTTACGCCTCCGTTTTCTTTCCGTCGCGCGGGAAAGCGAGGCGGACATGAGAGAAGTGCTTGTGGAGACGCGATCTCTTGGCGAAGTTAATGTTGATCCTCGATCTGTCGGTGAAGATCGAGGTGCCAGGCCTTACCTCTTCTGCCAGGGCCCCCAGGGCCACAAGGACCACTAGTGACCACAACAACCTGATGGCTCCACTTCTCGTACACTCCATATCTCTCTTAGTCTTTTTAGTCTATCAACATAATGTAGAAACTTCCCTAATGGAAGGTTTTCTGCGCAGGGCGTCACAGCGAGGCTTTATTTTAATTGATGCACGTTTTCATATCATTCATATCTGCAAGAGAGAGAGTGAGAAAATTGTTTTTGTTTATTTATATACAAAAATTACGGGACAATGGGTTGTGAGAGTACACACGCTGGCGATTAAATGGCACATTCAAGCAAAGCCACTAACACGCACAGCGTTTCGGACAGGTCCTTAAGCTGAAGAAAGAGTTTGCCGTGAAATCAAAACTTGGAGGAGGAATAGTCAATAGCGAATAAAAATAAATGTAATGATAAGTACATAGTAACAGAATTTGAATTCACATAATTACATCAGTATAGTGGTGATAAAAAATGATATAGTGATGTAGTTGCATTAATAGATAGTAAAATATGGTTTTAGTTAGTAGCACAAAATAGTGTGTTTGTTCGAAATAACGTGTAGGTGGGATACTATGATGGTGAAATTGGGTACTTTATAGTTTTACATTTGAATGAAGTATAAGTCAGACAATTAATTCAGTTGGGAATGAGTTCCAAACATTTGGTCCTTTTATTTTCATGGCGTGTTTGTGCAGATTTAACCTGACTCTGGGAATATCAAAGGGATAGTTATTTCTGGTCTTATGTTGATGGGTTCTGTTACAGTATCAGGATGGAGCGGGCGGTACCCGGGTCGAAGGGGTACAGAGCGGTGCCCGGCTCGACCCCAAAAGGTTATACCATTTACGAGTGCAACCTGGTACGACCCCAGCATGTTCATGGAGTTGATGAAATATGTGTACCAGTGAACCACACATGACCCTAATCCACCTCTCTACTCACACTCGCCCAGTTGATGTGTCAGTCTCAACTCTACACTACTCCTTCCAGTACTCTCCCTTGTCCCTTTCTCCAGTGGTAAACCCCCCCTTCTACCTCATCCTTCACCTCTTATTTTTTAAACAATCCCCCTCATACCCCCCGACCGTCTACACCTTCCCCTTCGCCTTTTTTCCGCTTCTATCCCCCCCATCCTTCATCCTTCTAACCCGCACCTCCAACTTCCTCTCTCAGCTCTCACCCCACACACCCCAGAGCCACCACCAACCACAAAACCAAACATTACCTTTTATGTCCGCATTCTCACCCCAGCCACTCCTCCCCAGCACACAACATACTTCCGCCCGTCACATCCCTCCACACCCTTAGCCAGGAGGGGCGAAGGTAAGTGGAGGGCTCCACTTACCCCTCCACCCCAACATAAGTCAAAGTAATACGGAGGGCTCCCCCCAACATGCGCTAAATTATAAGGAAAGACACAGAGGAGCTGAAAGAGAACTGGGGTTCGTTTATAATTAAAAAAGGTTGGCCACCTTTGATAAACTTGCAACACTAAATTGCAATGAGGTTATCTTGAGGTTATCTTGACATGATTTCGGGGCTTTAGTGTCCCCGCGGCCCGGTCCTCGACCAGGCCTCCACCCCCAGGAAGCAGCCCGTGACAGCTGACTAACACCCAAGTGCCTATTTTACTGCTAGGTAACAGGGGCATAGGGTGAAAGAAACTTTGCCCATTGTTTCTCGCCGGCGCCTGGGATCGAACCCAGGACCACAGGATCACAAATCCAGCGTGCTGTCCGCTCAGCCGACCGGCTCCCATGAGGTCGAAGCCCACGTCACGAAAACTCTAATTGCAGGAAACTAGAAAATTGTTGTCACTCATTTTGTAGCATCCCAGTCGAAGTATTACTGATGATCTTGACAGGGATATGAGGACAAGAACAAGGCAACTGTGGGTATATGCAAAAGTGAGGCCGATGTGTCTACTGGAATGATATTAAAAAAAATAGTTCCTATTCAATTTAGAAATAGCGATCATAGCTATTTTATATGTTTCCCGGAGGAAAATCTTGGGCACTACACCCGGAGCAGATGGCACTGACAGTTGTGCAAAAGACATTGTATAAACTACTTGTTACAGAACCTGATGTTTGTAACACAGACAACTCTAAACCAAACAAGTCATTCGACACTAATGATTTATTTGATACTCATAAAATAATCAATTAACTCTGCAGTTAGCAGCGTGGACTATTGTTAACGTAGTGCCATATTGATTAAGGGAGCCATATCTCTACCTAATAACTAAGATCCATTTACCTTAACATCAATTGTTGGGAAGTTATTTGAATTAATAATTGCAAGCTCCATTCATAATTATCTTGAACAGCATAATTTAATAAATAATGCAAAGTACGTCCTTTCAAAATAGCTCCCACGATATTCAAACACTTCTCATGCAGTGGACAGTGATTATAGAACTATATTGTTTATATTGACCACGGTACATCAAAGGTAAATTAGGAAAGTCACTGAGTAACAACAAACAGCATGAAGTTTGAGTAGTACGTCTACTCACACCTGTGAGTAGACGTACTCAAGTACGTCTAGTCCAGTCCCTCCTGCAGGAGAGACTCCCACGACCTCATTGAGATCTGCAACAGGAGACACCTCACTACCCCAGTAAGCGGACGGTTGCCAAGTGCAGAGTGGGAGGCATAACCTATTTTATTCATCAGCCAAATTTATCATATACGAGAGATACTTTGATTTGAACGTTGTAGGAGGGGGAAACTCCTGCCCCGTCCGGGTTTACACGGACCAGAACCTCCTGGACTAATTCATCATATACAAACCTTCATAATATATATATGTACAATACTCGAGTTCATAACGTAGGCGTTAAACAACGTGGCCCGGGAGTGTGCTAACCGCACCTCACACAATTCTTGCGCCACCACCCACTCTTATACAAAGAAACGTCTTGAGTGTATATAATGGATTTAACACGCTGTGAAGAATGCCTTTAGGAAGCACAGTTAGGATGGCTGGAGGATGTCAAGGCCATAGTCTGTTGCCTCAGCATCCTGGGGGTCGTCGAGGGGTGAGACGGCAGTCACAGGGTACAGGTAGTTATCATAAACTCTAATTAATCAAATATTTTTACAAGTCGAGATGCTTCTGATAACCTGGAGTTCTATGTTGGTCCTCCAGCAGTACACTGTTCCATCACCACCTCTGCTGGTCCTCGTCTTGAAGCAGTAACTTAGAAAATTTTATATTGTTAGTCACAATCTCTGTTCTACCGAATATACTTAAGATACCGAAAAAATCTTGAAACATTGCTGGTAGTTATAGACGATCCTTCTAATATATGGCGCCGTATAATGAGGCAACTTGTGTGCAGTAGTCCGGAAAGCACATTATGTAGTTAACGGTCTCAAATAAGCACATTGAGAATGGTCCAGGACGGACCGAAACGTCGTCGTCCCTTCACCTTTTAGTGTGTGGTCTGGTCAACATACTTCAGCCACGTTATTGTGACTCATCGCCTGCATATGTAGTTAATTATTGCAGGATACGCCCTTCAAGCCCCGATTTATTTGACCTAAATGGTGTCAAATTAAATTTGGCCAAATAAATTGGTTTAGCACGAAAGGGAAACTTGTAAATCTAAACTGGTCTCCAAAATAAAAACAAAACTTCCGTTTACAAACTCAGGTCTGAACTAATCTCAACAAACACAGTGATAACAAATCTCAGCAATAAAGATCTAACAAAATTTCAACAAATACAGACCTAAATCACTCTCAATAATTACCCACATACCAGAGCTCAACTTTTAAATTAACAACAAGCTGTTTAATCAGAATATTTTTTGTATTAATACATGAGGTACATCTGCATTAATGCAGCTACCCAAGACTATATGAAGTGGAGAACAGTGTGTCAAAAAAGTTAACTAGGTGATGCTAAAAAATCCCCATCACACAGGATGGTTAGTCATACAGAGGCATGTGATCAGTAGTCTGCACTGGCAGACTCCGGATGCATTTTGAGGATATCATCAACACAAGAGTGAATAAGGTAGCAGTGGTAGCTATAAATAAAAAAACAAATCCAGATATAACTCTACGGTCTTATATAATCAGCTTTCAGTAACAACTATCATCTAAGCCTTTAATTGCGTCTTCCACTTACTGTGGCGAGAAACAATATATTCCAAGTCATATTACACCTAAAATATTACAAATATAATTATCATAATTTAAAAAGTCACCAGCTGCCACCTCAGAATATTTGTATAACAATTCTGTATTAATATTCGCGTTACAAACCTGACACAACTCCTTCCAGTATTCTCCCTCGTCACTTTCAGTTGCACTTTCAGTAGTTACATTACTAGATAGTAAAATATTGTGTTAGTAGCACAAAATAGTGTGTTTGTTCAAAATAACGTGTAGCAGAAGGTGGGATACTATGATGGTGAAATTGGGTACTTAATAGTTCTACATTTGAATACTTTATAGTTCTACATTTGAATTTTGCAGCATCATACAGTGTTGCAGCACCATACAGTGTTGCAGCGTTATACAGTGTTGCAGCACCATACAGTGTTGCAGCGTTACTTGGAAGCACATAATCTTCCAAGGCGAAAATTATGAGAACTTGAATTATAAAGCTCCTTAAACAATAATCGTATGCGCCTAATTAACACTAAATTTCATCAAGGAAGAGAGATTGGTCGTCAGTATATTATATCTCTCGTCTCCTAAGAAACCGGATTTAACAATTGATACTCATTCAACTAAGTTTTTATGTATAGTTTCAACACGAAATGTGTACTACTCTCTTCTTGGCAAGGACATGTGTCGAGTACCCTTGGAAAGTGAATGTGTCACCAGCTGGAAGGAATGTTTAGTCATGCCAGACATCTCCCAAAAGGAAATTATGCCTGCGGACTGGGATGCGGTTAATAGTGCGTCATATGCAGATGACTACAGCATGCCTGATGCCTAAGATCAGCATTGCTATCTGTCGCACCGACGCCTTACTGCCTCCTGAGAGGAAGGTAATCACAGCACCTCCCTTCTCAGATGTTTCTCCACAACACTGGAACACCAC